AGGTGCCTCTATGTGACCCATGTCTCGCTGCCATATAGAGGGTGGAGAGGACCACTGATCGATATACGTGTAACTTTGTAGATAATTTCAGCTCCCTACAGCTGAAGACACTGTTTCGAAGTTTGCCAAAGGCTTCAGATGCACATCTGAACCTATGCTGAATCTCTTCATCGGTGCCCACGGTGGTGGACAGGTGGGAGCCGAAATACCGAAAGTGGGTAACATTAGAGAGCAGAACCGCTAAGCTGGATGAATGGTGGAGGTGTGGCTGAACCAGGGGCAGGTTGAAAGAGAATCTGAGTCTTCTGTACATTTACCTAAAGGCCGAAGTGTGCAAACACATATGCGTAGGTGCCCAGGATATCCTGTGTGTTGCGTTCAATGTGAGCGACAAGGGTAAGGTCGTCTGCATGCTGAAAATCAGTAATGGAAGCTGCTGACATCTTTGCTCCTGCCTGGAGTCGTCTTATGTACTTGATGTCCACCCCGCCGGCTAAATTGGCACTGGCACGAGTAAGGAAGGCAACCAAGAAAGTGAAAAGGAGAGTTGGTGCTAGTACACATCCTTGTTTAACCCCCCGTTTGGATGGAAAGAGCTCAGACTGGGTGTCATTGTGCAGGACACTGCCGCTCATGCCATCGTGGAGTTGTCTCACAATGGCGATGAATTTTGATGGGCAGTCAAAACGGCTGAGGGTCCACCAGGGGGCTTCCCTGTTGACCGAGTCGAAGGCCTTGGTTAGGTCGATGAAAGCCATGTACATGCTGTTCCCAGCACTTTTCCTGTATCTGACGGGCAGCAAATATCATATCAGTGGTACCACGTGATGGTCTAAAGCCACATTGAGGTTCTGGAAAGAAATTTTCCGCCTCAGGAAGAAGTCTGTTTCGGAGGACTCGGGCAATAATCTTGCCAGCTATGGACAGGAGCGAGATCCCATGGCAGTTGCCACAGTCTGACCGATCTCCCTTGTTCTTATAAATATTGACGATGGAGGCGTCTTTAGGAGCTTGGGGAATTTCCTCTCTTTCCCATATATTCTCCAGGAGACAGTGTAGACGGCTGGTAAGCAGAGGTCCTCCTGCTTTATACACCTGAAGCTTTGTTATTTTTCATCTGTTTGATGGCAGTAGCTACCTTATCCAGGGATGGAGAATAGCTGAGGTGGATCAGCTCTGGATGCTGAGGGACCTCCTGGATAGTCAGGATATCCACATCGGTGTTTTGGTTGAGCAGCAAATGAGAGCGCTCTATTCACTGGTGAAGGATGCCTTCATCGTCTTTCATTATGAAGTTACCGTCGGGTGAGCGGAGGGGGGCTGCGCCACGAGTGATAGCCCATAAAATGTTTCAGTGGAATTGAAAAATTCGCGCATCTTGTGCTGATCTGCAAATTTTTGTGTTTCACATTCTTTATTTTTAAACCAGTCGTTCTTTAGATTGCAAAGTTCCCTCTGGGCCGCTGCTTTCTTCTTGCGGAAGGTATCAGCTTTGGTCCGAGACTGAAGGTTATTCTGCCAGTCAGTTAAAGCAGCACGTTTATCATCGACGAGTACATTGATTGCCTGGTCATTTTCATCAAACCAGTCCTGGTGTATTCTTTCGATCTGGCTGAGGGTCTCTCTGCAGGTTTTTGTCATGACAGTGTCGAGAATATCCCATTCAGCACTGAGATTTGGGTTTTGTTGTCGGGTTGTTTTTATCAGCTCATGTTCTTGCTGCTCTCTGAAAACATGTGGACGCTTAGTGTTAAAAACTCTTTTGGAGGCTTGCTGCCTATGCCGTTTTGGGGGCGACATGAAGTGATAGCTTGTCTCTGACAAGCTGATGATCAGTGTCGCACTGGTCTGAGACACATATGGCTCAGACAATGATGTAGTCAATGAGATGCCAGTGTTTGGATCGTGGGTGTTGCCACAAACCCTTGAACTTGTCGGCCTGCCTAAGCAAGGTATTTGTGAGAGTGAGGTTGTGTGCAGCAACCTTACTGGGGAGGAGTAGGCATAGTCCATTTCCCCTATGGTTCCCTGCCAAATCTCAGCATCACTGCCAACTCTGGCATTGAAGTCACCAAGGGGCACAATCTTATCTTTTTGGGGATAGAGGTTAGCACTCCTTCGAGGTCGGCGTAAAAGGCCCCCTTGATGTTTTCCTCTGCATCCAGTGTTGGGGCGATTGCACTGATCAAAAAGGCTTAACGTGAGTGATTCAGTGGGACTCGGAGCGTCATAAGGAGCTCGTTGATCCCAATAGGCATTTCAATTAGCCTGTGTAGGATGCGTAGGCGGATGGCAAAGCCAACTCCATAAATGTGGTTTCTCTCTGCAGCAGGCTAACCCTTCCAGAAGAAGGTATAGCCAGACCCCCGTTCTGTGAGTTAACCCTCGTCTGGGAGCCGGGACTCACTAATGGCTGCTATGTCAATGTTATACCTAGCCAGCTCTTTTGCCATAAGGGCAGTTCTTCTTTCAGAACGCTTACTTGTGCTAGTATCCAAAAGGTTCCTGACATTCCATGCAGCGACCATAAGAGGTTGTATAGTTGGATTTTGTTTGGATCTGTGATTAGGATTGTGTTTTTGACTGCGGTTGCCCAGTCAGTTTTTTTTTTCTTTTGGCAGGCTATGTTTAGGGCACCTTTTCTAGCCCATTGCCCCATTACCCATGTGGGGTGAGCAGAGTGGCTCCTCGAAAGGGCTGCTCAGTCACACAGACGGGACCGGATTGCACTGCTGCCTAGATCTCAGTGCATAAACGACCATCTTATCTGTGGTGCCCATGTGCAGAGTTGTGACTAGAGACTCCAGGCAGTCATCACTGCCTGTCCCCTTCGCCACTCGTCCGTCGCCATAGGACTTTTGGGAAAAAAAGGGGTTTTCATAATGATGATAGGTATGATGAGCTGGAAGATGGCTGCGCATGAGTTGATTTACGTGATGAGGCAGGCTGCAAACACACATCTTGGCTCTCCCTTTTCCTGATCCAGTGGTGCAAGTGTTGCAATGACTGGGGAGAGGGAAAGTTGCAAAGGACTGTGGATAGCCCAGTTTGTTGGGTTTTGCCTTAGTAGCCAGTCCATCATGCATTGCCTTCATCCACCAGTATAGTCATTGGGTTCCCATGGTGGTCACCTCCTCCGCCTATACTGCCGTTGGGGTCTTATTGGAACTCGCTAAGCATGTCTGCCTGATGCGGGGCTCTACCGCAGATTTTTCGTTCAGGGTTTACCCCCGTAGCCTTATACCAACCAAGGTTAATCCGCAAGGGAGCAGGTCAATGATTGGTAGGCACCAGGACGTGTCCACATGCCAGTGGGCCTATGCGTCGTCCCTCTGGGGCCCACTGCTACTCCGAGATCCCCTGCTGGTCTAGCCTGGGCCGACGAGGCACCCAGTTACCGTGTGTTGCCACGAGGAGGCACAGCTTGAGTCTTGATGGTGAAGAGGCTGTGTACTGGCCCGGGAAGGCCTATACAGGTCGCTTCCCTGTTCGCCACAAGGGCTAGCCAGCGGCGGTAGCTGAAAGCAAAGGGAAGCAAACAGTACTTGCACCTTAACACTAACATAATGATGCCACACTAGACTCATTTCACCACCCTGTGTGCACACACACACACACACACACACACACACGAAGTTCGTGTTTTCTTCTTTCCTTGTGGTTTTCAGCATATACCTAGATCACGCGCACCTACAGTGATTTACTTGCATATATATATATATATATATATATATATATATATATATATATATATATATATATATATATATATATATATATATATATATATATATATATATATATGTGTGTGTGTGTGTGTGTGTATATATTTATTTATTTATTTATAGGCGTCTGACGAGACATATAATAACATCCTCGAGCGGCCGAGAAGTCAGTGGACCGTTTCTGCTCAGAGTGTAAAGAACAAGCCAAGTAGTGATAATTGAAGACAATTGTTGTGCAAGTATTATGGAATTGTTGTAAGAAATATAAAGTTAAAAAACCTAAGGATTTGCACAATGGTAGTTTGCCGACTATATATTTGAAGTGAGAAGTCCAGCTGTGAAGACATTTACCCTGTGAACAATGTTGTGAAGAACTAGTTATTATTAAAGAAGACTACAGTGTACAAGCATGTTTTTGTGACCTGGTGGAAATCTACCTGCCTGTTGTTTGTCTGCACACTGATACCGGTCTTCGGGAAATTACCGGAGACTGGTGGGACAGCCAGTGGTAATTCGACGACACTTGTGATATATGCAGTATACTGCTTCTGTACATACTACCTGGCCGCTGGTAACCAGCGGTGGAAGCGGCAAAAGGAAGGTCGTAACAATATATTTTGTTATACTTATGAGAAGGATTTTAAACCATCTAAACCTCTTATGCAGGGCAATTTAGTTGGGATTCTGTTTTGGCCATTAAATTTTAAGTTGGTATAAAATAATCCAAGAAATATAACATACTGTGTATTATTAGGACGGCATTCGACAACCTCTGTCGTCCAGTAACGGTTAGTAATGCAGTTTAAGTCTATTATAGTCCCTTTGTTATTTGCTTGCACTAGGGAATGCCATTGAATCAGTGCATAGACTACTCTCATTTAATTTTTAGAGAGCAAGCATGAGTAAATGTTCAAAGTGTAGGGCCTCGTCTTTTACTCGGCCTATTACCGCGGGTTGCACTCATTTCACTAATAACTCATATAGGAGTAAACCACTATTCTAAATTCCTGACAAATGTTAATTTTGAATTCTAAATTAACAAATGTAGAGTGATGAAAGGAGGTAGTTTTAATGAAGACAGAACGGAGTAAATTAAGTGCATCAGATATCCGGGAGAGGATGTTTCAGCAAATATATGTGATGGAGTAATAGGTAAACTGTAATATGTATGAACATATTACATACTATATTCTATATTTGATCACACTGGTACTCACTCTTGTCAATGTGGGTGGAGGGTGAAAGCAAGCCCTGGTAGGGGAAGACAGCTAGGCACAGCACCATAGCCACCAGCAAGTTGGCCGTCACCGCTGTGTATGCGTCCATACGGATCTGTAAGTACAGGATACTTTTATCATAAATTAAAAACTTAATATAATTTAACTTTGCTAAATATAACGTAAACTAACTTATTACAACGTAAAATTAAGTAATGAAGTTAACATGAGATAACATGAGATATGGTATAATATACTGTAATGTAAACTAGCAATAGCTTCATAGCATAAACTAGAGTCCTTGTATACAGAGAGTAGCGACTTGATTAAATATTGAACTATTTACAATGGGAGTAAATAAACAAAATAATTTGTATGTTTATCTACACTCACTAACACAGGGATACCTAGTATGGGCTAGGACCCAAAAAATAATTTACTGGTACCACCCGAGGTGGCAAATTCTAGTTGCTCTTTTCTATTTGCTATACATCTCTAGTTTACGTTTTGATATGATATAACCTTTGCAGGATCAACGTCCCTACTAAGTTATGTCCTCTGTGATATTACCACATCTCAATGGTGGTTAATTAATTAATAATCACCCAAGAATAGCTGTGATAGATCTTTCTTCATAGTCTAAGTAATAATATCCTAGAAATAGAACAATCAGGCATCGAAAATATAAAAAAATTCTAGATATACAGGATGTAATTAGATTTGCTGATATTTCAATCTTTTTTTTTCAAAATAAGAGTGCTCTTGATTATAGACTTGAATATTTATGGCTTAAACTTAAAACAGAAAATATAATTTGACTACAATACATCGTAATCTTATGCAATACAGAAATACAATACAGCATTATCTTAATACAATAAAGAATAAATAAAATACAATACAGCAAATCAAAAACTGCAACAATACAGCATAATATAGCTTAAAACACAGGGTCTTCCAAACCAAAGTATGATGAACAGTTATCAAAGAATAACATTTATAATTCATCATTGGACTACATATCGGTCATCTTCAGAGTTTCCGAGCTCAACAGGAGATTCTTCCTCTTGCTTCTGGTTAGAACAGGTCTGTCCGTTTTAGCCCATTGGCAAAACAGGGGGAGTTTGGCAGTTTGCAGGAACGCACGCACTTGCAGGCTAAAAATGCCAAGATCATATGTTGTGCCGGTGGCGTGCGCATCCAGTGGGTGGCTAGCTTGCCGGACAGTATTAACACCTTCTGGCTTCCATTCAGCTACAGGCAGTCCGGCATTCGTCATTCTCAGTCTTTTCTCATCAGAGAATAGTAGCTCAAACCTCCATTGCAGCAGTGTTTCCTCTTTTTGTCCGCACTTCTTATTCGGCCTGACTCCTCTCCATTGCTCTCTTGAAGAGTTGCGAGTGCACACCTCTCTCGTAACGATGCGAGCACACACCTCTCTTGTAGCGTTGCGAGTGCACACCTCTCTTGTAGTTTTGCGAGTGCACACCTCGCTTGTACTGTTGCGAGCACACACCTCTCTTGTAGCGTTGCGAGTGCACACCTCTCTTGTAGCGATGCGAGCACATACCTCTCTTGTAGCGTTGCGAGTGTACACCTCTCTTGTAGTTTTGCGAGTGCACACCTCGCTTGTACTGTTGCGAAAACACACCTTTCCTGTAGCGTTGCGAGCGCACACCTCGCTTGTAGCGTTGCGAGCACACACTTCACTTGTAGCGTTGCGAGTGCACACCTCGCTTGTAGCGTTGCAAAGTGCACACCTCTCTTGTAGCGTTGTGCGTGCACACCTCGCTTGTAGTGTTGCGAGTGCACACCTCGCTTGTAGCCTTGTGAGGGCACACCTCTTTTGTACCGTTGTGAGTGCACTCCCCTCTTGTAGCGTTGCGAGCGTACACCTCTCATGTAGCCTTTTGAGCGTATGCCTCGCTTGTACTGTTGCGAGCGCACACCTCTCTTGTAGCGTTCGAGTGCACGCCTCTCTTGTAGTGTTGCGAGCACACACGAGGCTTGTAGCGTTGCGAGCACGCACCTCGCTTATAGCGTTGTGAGCCCACACCTCTCTTGTAGAGTTAAGAGTGCACACCTCTCTTGTATCTTTGCGAATGCACACCTCGCTTGTAGAGTTGCGAGCACACACCTCGCTTGTAGCGTTGCGAGCACACACCTCTCTTGTAGCGTTGCGAGTGCACGCCTCTCTTGTAGTGTTGCGAGCACACACGAGGCTTGTAGCGTTGCAAACACACACCGCTCCTGTAGCGTTGCGAGTGCACACTTCTCTTGTAGCATTGCATGCACACACCTCTCTTGAAGCGTTGCGAGCACACACCTTGCTTCTAGCGTTGCGAGCACACACCTCGCTTGTAGCGTTGCGAGCACGCACCTCGCTTGTAGCGTTGTGAGCCCACACCTCTCTTGTAGAGTTAAGAGTGCACGTCTCTCTTGTAGTGTTGCGAGCACACACGAGGCTTGTAGCGTTGCGAACACACACCGCTCCTGTAGCGTTGCGAATGCACAACTCTCTTGTAGCGTTGCGAGCACACACGAGGCTAGTAGCGTTGCGAGCACACACCTCTCTTGTAGCATTGCGATTGCACACCTCGCTTATAGCGTTGCGAGTGCACACTTCTCTTGTAGCGTTGCGAGTGCACACTTCGCTTGTAGCATTACGAGTACACACCTCTCTTGTAGCGTTGCGAGTGCACACCTCTCTTGTAGCGTTGCGAGTGCACACTTCTCTTGTAGCGTTGCGAGTACACACCTCTTTGTAGCGTTTGAGCGCACAGTAGCAGTGCACACTCTCGCTTGTACTGTTTCAGCACACACTCTTGGCACGAGTGCACACCTCTCTTGTAGCATTACGAGTACACACCTCTCTTGTAGCGTTGCGAGTGCACACTTCTCTTGTAGCGTTGCGAGTGCACACCTCGCTTGTACTGTTTCCAGCACACACCTCTCTTGTGGCTGTGCGAGTGCACACTTCTCTTGTAGCGTTGCGAGTGCAAACCTCGCTTGTACTGTTTCCAGCACACACCTCTCTCGTAGCGTTGCGAGTGCACACCTCTCTTGTAGCATTACGAGTACACACCTCTCTTGTAGCGTTGCGAGTGCACACCTCTCTTGTAGCGTTGCGAGTGCACACCTCTCTTGTACTGTTTCCAGCACACACCTCGCTTGTAGCATTACGAGTGCGCACCTCGCTTGTAGCATTACGAGTACACACCTCTCTTGTACCGTTGCGAGTGCACACCTCGCTTGTAGCGAGTGCACACCTCTCTTGTACTGTTTCCAGTACACACCTCGCGTTGCGAGTGCACACCTCGCTTGTACTGTTTCCAGCACACACCTCTTTTGTAGCGTTGCGAGTGCACACTTCTCTTGTAGCGTTGCGAGTGCACACCTCGCTTGTACTGTTTCCAGCACACACCTCGCTTGTAGCGTTGCGAGCGTACACCTCTCTTGTAGCATTGCTAGCACACACCTCTCTTGAAGCATTGTGAGCGCACACCTCTCTTGTAGCTTTGTGAGGGTACACCTCTCTTGGAGCGTTGTGAGTGCACTCCTCTCTTGGAGCCTTGTGAGCGAACACCTCTCTTGTAGCGTTACGATTGCACACCTTTCTTGTACCGTTGTACGCGTACACCTCTCTCGTAGCGTTGCGAGTGCACACCTCGCTTGTAGCATTACGAGTACACACCTCTCTTGTAGCGTTGCGAGTGCACACCTCTCTTGTAGCGTTGCGAGTGCACATCTCTCTTGTAGCGTTGCGAGTGCACACTTCTCTTGTAGCGTTGCGAGTGCACACCTCGCTTGTAGCATTACGAGTACACACCTCTCTTGTAGCATTACGATTACACACCTCTCTTGTAGCGTTGCGAGTGCACACTTCTCTTGTAGCGTTGCGAGTGCACACCTCGCTTGTACTGTTTCCAGCACACACCTCTCTTGTGGCTGTGCGAGTGCACACTTCTCTTGTAGCGTTGCGAGTGCAAACCTCGCTTGTACTGTTTCCAGCACACACCTCGCTTGTAGCATTACGAGTGCACACCTCTCTTGTAGCATTACGAGTACACACCTCTCTTGTAGCGTTGCGAGTGCACACCTCTCTTGTAGCGTTGCGAGTGCACACCTCTCTTGTAGCGTTGCGAGTGCACACCTCTCTTGTACTGTTTCCAGCACACACCTCGCTTGTAGCATTACGAGTGCGCACCTCGCTTTTAGCATTACGAGTGCACACCTCTCTTGCAGCATTACGGGTACACACCTCTCTTGTACCGTTGCGAGTGCACACCTCTCTTGTAGCGTTGCGAGTACACACCTCTCTTGTACCGTTGCGAGTGCACACCTCTCTTGTACTGTTTCCAGCACACACCTCGCTTGTAGCATTGCGAGTGCACACTTCTCTTGCAGCGTTGCGAGTGCACACCTCGCCTGTACTGTTTCCAGCACACACCTCGCTTGTAGCGTTACGAGCGTACACCTCTCTTGTAGCATTGCTAGCACACACCTCTCTTGAAGCATTGTGAGCGCACACCTCTCTTGTAGCTTTGTGAGGGTACACCTCTCTTGTAGCGATGTGAGTGCACTCCTCTCTTGGAGCCTTGTGAGCGAACACCTCTCTTGTAGCGTTACGATTGCACACCTTTCTTGTACCGTTGTACGCGTACACCTCTCTTGTAGAGTTGCGAGTGCACGCCTCTCTTGTAGTGTTGCGAGCACACACCTCTCTTGTAGCGTTGAGAGTGCACACCTCTTGTAGCGTTGCGAGGGCACACCTCTCTTGTAGTGTTGCGAGTGCACGCCTCTCTTGTAGTGTTGCAAGCACACACCTCTCTTGTAGCGTTGAGAGTGCACACCTCTTGTAGCGTTGCGAGTGCACACCTCTCTTGTAGCATTATTAGCAAACACCTCGCTCGTAGTGTTGCGAGCACACAACTCTCTTGTAACGTTGTGAACGCACGCCTCTTCTGTAGCGTTGCTAATGCACACCTTGCATGAACTGCGAGGCCAGCTTATTCTTAGCTTTCACATGACGTCACATACTCTAATTATGCAAAGCGTCTATTCCAACAAGTAAATGCCTTCGTTAGGTATTGGTGAATAGATGGAGCAATTTGT